AGCAGTAAAATCTTCCATTCATAAATTCAAATAAAGGAAGGCACGTAAACAAAAATTACTTTGAAATGTAGATGCGGCCATGAAACTCTTGAGAGAAAAACACCGTCATCGTTAAAATTTTATACGTTTACACTCCGCTCTGATGTTATGCCGTGGGGAGTGCACTTTTGAGACAACACTTTATGAGGTGAGGGGAATTCTCATATAACCGTGTCGTAAGTTCACGGAACCGTCAAACGTAACCACAGACCATGAATCCGAAATATGGAAAAGTTTTACACAGTTTGCTTGCATAGGCACCTCGGCGTGTCGCCCTGTTGGCGAGACACGGTGAGTTGCTCGATTTTTTGACAATTAACTCGTGTGATCACACAAAATCGAGTAAGTCGACTCATCCGTAGAACAAAGATCTACGTGCCAGACTACTTGTTCTCAGGACATAGTACATTTCGTTCGTTCTTCTTCGCTGTGGATGTCAGATCGACGGTTGTTCAATTTTATATTTCCGAAATGAAATAAGATATATAAATTTCATCAAAACACCTTTAAGTAGACCTTAGTTTGAATAAGGAAATTATTCTGCTAACGTACTTATTCTCTTTTCGCTATATAATAACATCGGACTCTGTTCTTCGCATGAGTGGAAATGTGTAAGCAACAGACGATCAACAAAGTATTTTTTAACAAAGTTCAATTTAAATCAAGCGTACAATTTCGTTCGATTTTAACTTGGATATTTATTTATCGCTCGCTGACAGGTGATAGTAACAATCGTCAAAAATCGAGCAAATCCTTATTCTCCACTTTTTCAAAGCAAAACTGGAGAGAGCAAGGTATTTAATGGAGTTTTAAAGTTAGTGGACATTTCTGGAATTGGACTTTAAAGTGCTAGAAAGTTCTCACGATATGTCTAGACTGCGCAAAACTAGTGACTGTCACAGCTAGTGACGAAACAAATGACTTGTGACATATTCTCTTATTGCTACACAGATTGTAATGAACATTTTTTTATTTCCTTTACGCAGTTTTGTTTACTTAAACATCAAAAAGTACGCGTGGATACACGGCATAAATAAATAATTTATTTAGAAGTTGTTGAGCAAAATATAATCTATCTAGTTGTGGTTGCACATACGTTTCTTAATATGGAGCAAGTTGAAGTAATGAAATAAAATTATTGCTCTATTCCCCTACACTTCCTGAATAATGTTCCATAATTTCGCCCATAGGCATCGCGTCGGCGTCGCCATATATATTAGATTGCAATTTCACAGCGAACGCCAAATCCGAGCGCGATCGTCACGTCACATGGCAAATCCTCCTTCTTTTAAGAACTGTCAGGAAAATGCTGCTGCACATACTAATCTAAAATCTTTGTTGTAAATTTAACTGCACGTCATCTACGTGTCGGTGCATTTGCAATCGAATATTTGACATAAATTAGCCGTAACTGTAAACAGCTCGACAGTTTTACAAGTTCGTCGACGGATAGTACATTATGTAGGCAGTATTAGTAAATAATCCTAAATAGACATTGCAAAAGTAAAAGCTCAGTTTAGCCTAACCTAGACTGTCAAGCGAAGTCGTCTGGCGAGCTTTCTAACGCTATATCAGTTGCTTTACAGATTCTATATAAAGCACAAACGAGGTATTATTGTCACTACTAAGAAATTTAATCGTTCAACATGACCTGTCTCGTAAGGTGGCGCTCGTTTTTAAGTTGTTAGTAGGTTCGTCTGTTGTACCGTTATGGTGACAATATAGGTCTACGTTTTCCTCATAGAGTTCCAATTTAAAAAATAACAATCAATTACTTAAAAATATAATTAAGTAAGTTACGGTGACGAGGTTAAGTTAGAGTGAATATCATTCATGAGCATGAACCTGGATCAAGTGCAGATGTTAAAATTGTTTGATGCTTTAGTGAGTAATATTCCCGATTTATTTCCCCTTTTTGACCACATTTTCGACGAATAATTTTTCATTATTTCTGGTACGAACACTGGCGACTGCACCTATATTTTATTGAGATAGCAAAACCCAGTTAGGGTTGCTAATCGCGATCTGATAGTATAAAACGTGATAAATTCCGTCAAATAGGGCAAATGACTCTTCATAGCAGTAGGTGCGACACTCGTGGTAATTATTGGTCAACACAATTATCGCAGAAAGTAGGTATAAATGGGCCACACATTTTCGGCACAAAGGTGTTGAATAATATTTTTTTCGTGCAAACTTATTATGTGAGTGTAGATAGTTATAAATGTATATAAACTGAGTATTAACATATTCAATTAGGTAGGTACGAGTACTTACACTGTTTCGCAAACGGATAATAAAAGTTACATTTCATGGAGAGTTAGTCCAAGGAAGTTCTGCCACCGTACCTATTTCTGCCGCTAAGCAGTAATGTGAACAAAATTAAATATTGACGGCATCATCCGACAACCGGACACCGACTGTGTATTAAATTAACTGTGAAAATAACAACATTTAAAAACCAATAAAACGAAAAACCAATTGCGCTGCTATTCATTTTTATACGGTATCCCTTAGTGAGCTCAAACGGACAAAATGTAAAGACATCTACAGTAAAATCACTGTAGTATCCAACAATGCAAATAAATTAGCGCTTTAATGCGTACGGTAATCAACACAGGCAATAAACCATTTTCGAAACATAAATAAACTAGAATACTGTGCGTCTAACATAAATAAACTTGGAGTAAACGGGAATTTATTGGTTTAATTTCACTTGTATATTTCGAGACACTCATAGCTTTCGAATACATTATTTGTATTGTTCAAAATTCAAAATAAATTGTTATTGTGTTGCAAAGGTTAAAAGAGATGAATGCGGACGTAAAAGTAACTGAGATCGATATTAAAAGGCAATATTTATAAGAAAGGGTCTCACCTTGAACGTATGTAAACAAATGTAACGCCGCCACCAAGAAAATCCAGTTTCGTAGACCAAAACGACACATTCCGGTCCGAGACATAATGCAACGCACTATAATCACACTGCACCACAGTTTTTAATTCATCGATATCACATTTTCACATAAAATTTATTTTAATTCCGCGTATTTTTTCACACACTGCAACGTCGAACAGTGATCGAACAAGCCGCCATGTTTGTAAGGACTGCGTTCAGATCTCCTGGTTCGGATACTCCATTCAATATAACGAAAGGGCAATGCCCGGTACAATCTCGTTTAGATCCAGTGTGAAGTTAGCCACGTGTGAAGGGCTGACTTCTCTGAAGGCTGCTGTTTTACTAGAGGTGCACTGGTACATCGATTTGAAAAGATGCGTTTTGATTACATCGCTTGTTTGCATTGACTGTGATTGGTGCCGGGTCCGGCGTGCCAGTGTTGGCACAAGAATCATGTCATCTACACATCGAGTATATTTAAATTAGTCCAGGAATCTTTGTTTCATTCGGTAGTGTCTTTAGTAACGTTAGTCATGCCAGTGGTATATGCGAAAACTTAATTCTTTACCCACATAAACGACTATAATTGAATAAATTCTTTCAACGTTATCTTTTGCATGATTAATGGATGAGCTGATTTGAATTTTATTTAACCCTTCGGTGCCCATCCTATCACATAAAAATGCAGTAATAGCGTCCAGGGTGCCGATTAACTGCTTATACTTTAATTTGAATTAACTATCTATATTATTCGGAAGAACTCGGAACAAATATACTCCAACATTCTTTGTTTATTTAATGTTGATCTAGCATTAAAGTTTTATGATAATTCTAATTTCTAACGAGTGGTTGCCTTGCATCAGCGACTGGATCTTTTCGTCTTTTTTTCTTTTTTTCGTCTTTCCATTGACATTGGTACCGGCACGCGGAATAATATTAAATTTAGAGCGTGCTGTATGCTCTAAGTTTACAAGATAAGTCACATGAAGCTGTAAAAAATGTATTCAAGACTAAGTACCCTCTAGGATCAGAACTATCTAGGATCTTCCGAAACATTTGAAATTGCACAATATTTTTGAAATTTGTATTTATGTTACATTTTTTATTCTATTTTTGAGCTAAATTAGGTTTTTTAACATTTAATATTCACTCAGATATCATGATTTTTATATAACATACGCACTTAATAATTAGATTTTTTTTTATACCTATTGTTTTACTTAATATTTGAAGAAAACGGTCAACAATACAATTTGGCACATTATGTGGTTGGACCACTATAAGATACAAAAACAGCGAACGTTTGAATTCGTTGAATAAAATTGCTTGATTGCCATGCTGTCAAAAAAAAATACATCCCATCACTCAGGGTCGATTTATTTAAAACACTAGAAATCATACTCGAGTCCTTGCCAATAGGATCGTATTTCCAGTGCTTGAAATCATACTCAAGTCATGACTTGAGCATTGAGTAGAGTAGTGAATAGGGTCGTATTCCAGAACTCTACTCAATGCTCAAGTCAGGATTTGAGCAGACTTGAGTATGATTTCAAGCACTGGAAATACGACCCTAATGGCTAGGACTTGAGTATGATTTTCAGTGCTCACCGCAATACTCAATTCCTGACTTGAGCATTGAGTAGAGTTCTGGAATATGATCTAGGGTCGCAGAGTAGAAGTCTACTCAATGCTCAAGTTAGGATTTGAGTATGGTTTAAAGCACTTGATATCATACTCAAGTTCCTGTCATTAGGGTCGTATTTCCAGTGCTTGTGTTGCCAGAGCAATCCTTCCTTGAGCGTTGAATAGAGTTCTAGAATATGACCCTTAGAGTTGTATTCCAGAACTATACTCAATACTCTAGAGTTCTAGAATACGACCCTAAGACTTAAATCGAAACATATCTAGCGAAGGAAACGAGAAACTAATGACTAGGCAGTATGGTCTCTGACCTTCGCCTGTTCCAAACGGAACGAACGAAAAAAAAAACTATCAAACTCATCAAACTGTCAAACCCATTTGTCACGTATTTATCTATTTATTTACAAGCTTTCTAAGCCATCCGAGTGTTTCCGATTTCTCAGTAATTTTGAAGAGGACACCGCCAAAAGGAGAATACTTATGCACATTTACGACACAAAAAACACTTCAAAATGGAGTTAATATACTCCATGAGGCGCAAACCTCTCAAATGCGAGCCTCCACATTTGGACAGGTTAGTTTTTCTTGTGAACAAATTTACAAATTTATACCAACTTTTTGAATAAAATTAACCACGTGACTGTCCATAATCACGACTAAGAAACTTTAAACACCTATGTTTACCTCATAAAACCCAATAAAGCTTATCTTGAATAATACTTTTTCAGGGTTTCAGATTCTGAAACTACTCGACCAATTTGCACAATATCCGTCTGCAACATCATAGCGTTTTCGTCCTCTACGGAGTTATTAGACGCCGATGGTGACACCTGGGGTGGCCATGTGTATGTCTGCGATCTGGACACGCCGTGGGACAGCCATAAAGTGACCAGTACTTCTCATCCTGTGAGTTTCCAAGTTCCAAAAACTGTTTCACCCAATCCTTAAGCACATGACCTACAGTTGAGTTGAGAGTTGAAATTAATGTGGTGAATTGGTTATATACTTGGTACTTGGTGCAACGGGCTGGTATCCGCAACTCGACGACAAAGCGCCTAATTGGTTATATACTTAGTAGTCTAATCCTAAAATATTAAAAATGATTAAGACTTGTATTTGTAAAAGTAAAAATTATTGAATTTGGTACTTGGTGTAACGGGCTGGTGTCTGCAACTCGACGACAAGGCGCCTATTTTGCGTGTGGAATTATTGAATTTATTGGAAAATAAATTATGGGTGACAGGTTTGATAGGTTATGAAGATATGGAAAATGTTTAGAGGTTGTGGTGTTTTGATTCTCATAGAACATGGAAGTCTTTCTGGACAGAAAGAAATTGGACAGATGCAGGAAATCGTATGGCGGTTCCGGAAGTGCTGCATATGGTTGTTTTTATATATATAAATGTTTAAGTCTTGGTACTGGAGTCCCTTTGTGGAGTAAATAAAATATGATTTTGGGTAATTTTATACAGATTTTCATAAATGAATATCTTGAAAACTATTAATGTTCTAAATTTGGAACTTTATAGGAGGGCACCTATTCCATACCACTCATTCCCAAATTTTTTACCCCCAAATTTACATTCTCCTATAACCGAGGAAGGGGTTTCATAACACCAAGCTCACAGTGAGGGTTAAAAGGGGTCACCGCCTCAATCACCCTTAAATTCGACTGCCGGTAATATACAGTCCTCCTGTAATCCATGTTCATAAGAATGGAAGTAAATTTTATAGTTAAGGAATGTGTGAAACTTCCTTGTTTCTTTGGTTAAGCATTGAACACTTAAGAACTCCTGAAGTACCTTGTAAAGAGGCAAGACACATGTTGAGTATACTTATGGTAATGGTGTTTGTGACTGTAGGTCAGTTTGTGTAATTTGGACAATTAACTGTATAAAAAATATTTAACACAAGCGCTACAGTTTGCACAGTAGCTAAGTAATTTACTTCCGTTTTTATTATTATGAGTGTATAAAATGAAAAGTTGCATTGTATAAAAACTTGTTAATCAAATCCTATTGGAACCCTTAAATAAATTTTTTTAAATACTCATTAATACTATCAAGTAACACATATTTTTGATACAAGTTCTGCCCTGCGAAGAAATAGTTCTTCAAAAGTAAAGCCACACCGTGGAGTATACTTTTACTGTTGAAGTATATCTATGACGACTCAATCATAGTATGTTTCTTGGAGTGCCAACTATTAATCAAACTAGTAAGCGAAAGCATAAATAGAAACTGTTGTTGTTTACAAATGTTTGCAAGGTCTTTAGATGACAGTGAGTGTCTGCATACCTTGAAAAAGTCTAGAATACACAATCATCTGAGTAATGACTGATGAAGAGAAGCTTTGCAGGACTTTTTATACCAAACCACATTAAAACGTTAGCTGTTTCTGGTTCAAAATCGGATCGCCGATGCAGTCAAAATAGTATTTTAAAAATTATTTATGTATCGAGTTCTTAGGTTTTCGCGATCGTTACACATAGGAAGTGAAACTATTTTTCGGATTTAAGTCACATATATTTGTTTTTTCAAACAAACCGACGTTTCGGGTCCTTTACAGGCAACTTAATGTAGCGTAAATTGGAATGTTTTCTTTGTAAAATTAAAAATAAGGTACATGTTGCAGGTATCTGCATTAGAATGGGACTGTGAAGGCAAGCACCTCCTAATTGCCACTTCTGAAGGAGATATATCTGTGTATGGACAGAAGGACTATTTGCTCAATGAATGGACTTGCCTTTATAGTGTTAGTTTTCCAGGTGAGGTGCATTATTTAGTTCTTCTTCTTTTGTTATGATCCCATCGAAATAATCAATGATTCTGCCAATGTCAAGTAAAAATGGTAGTCATTTGTATGATTATTTAGTTCAATGTGGTTATACTCTTTCATCATCAACCCACTTATATGTCTCACTGCTAGGGTAAGGGCCTTTTTTTTTATAATACCAAATGACAATATACCTTGCTTGGTCACTGACACAATTCACTTAAATCGATTTTAATATCAACGTTAGAAATAAATGTCTAAACATTGCACATAAATTGACGTACTTTACAGAATAATTATTATCTAGCATAAAGAGCAAACTTTGAGTTGATGCACTTCACAACTGACAATAGTTAGCGACTCAGTATTTTTACGCGTGACGTGATACTTTATTGCGACTACGCTAATGTATATATATTTTAAAATATCCACATTTTGAAATTTAAGTTTTGAGCATTACCTTGTATGGTTGAGTCCTGGTGTGCCACGGCCCTACTTGTGAGGTGGTAGGGAAACCATTAGGCAACCACAGCTTGTGTAATTAACTCTTGCCACTTTTTAATCATAAGCTTCAATTTATAATATCAGAAAAAACGGGCTAACAGATATTAAATGTCTATAGCCAGCTTAGCAACAAGAATGCATGTTAGGTTCATAGTTGGTTTACCAACCAACCAATTTATGAACAAATTTGATGTAGAAAGAAAAGTTCCTCCAAATAACTTCTACATCTAATATTTATCGAAGAAATCCTAAGTAGGTTTACATCTAAAGAGAGCAAGTTTTCTACATTAAATATCCTATTTACATAATAATAATATATAATTTAAAATATTGTAGCTACGATTTTCTCATCAAGTATTTGTCTGTAGGTGAACAAATAATAAAATGCGTGTTCTTCCACAACGGGCGGCGATTCGCGTGGTCTGAGAAGAAACCAGATGTTCCTATCGCGGATCGCATTCAGATGCTGCGGCCTGCGCCTACGCTTAAGGGGTTTGGGTGAGACGTTTTATTATGACTGGAAATTAATATGTTCCCAAAAATTTTGCAATCAGTTGACCTTTTTGAGTTGTTTGCATACTTTGAGCCAAACTTGAAATTTAGGACCATCCGACCTTTTCTTAAGTGGCATATTGGCCATTTTGAGAGTCGTATTCTAGAACTCTACTCAATGCTCAAGTCAGGATTGCACTGCAAACACAAGCACTGGAAATACGACCCTAATGGTAGGGACTTGAGTATGATATCAATTGCTTTAAACCATACTCAAGTCAAGATTGTACTGGCAACGCAAGCACTGAAAATACGACCCTAATGGCAGGGACTTGAGTATGATTTCGAGTGCTTTAAACCATACTTAAATCCTGACTTGAGCATTGAGTAGAGTTCTAGAATACGACCCCTAATGTCTTTAATTGAGTTCAACAGCACCAGCATGTAATAGGTTAGGACGAGTGGTTAGTTGATCTCTGTGATCAACTGAATAATTTGTAGATGTCAAAGTCGTAAGCTTACCGGGATTCCGTTGCTTTTATTTTGGGCTGTATGGAGGCTTTTTTTTTTGACGATGGAGAAATTTTTATAGATACCTCTGAACCCAGGGAGACTTAGGGGTATAGGGGATACTCCCTCCAAACTGGAGGGCCTACCCCACTAAAACCCCCTGGGTTCATCTCTCGCCGGTCCACGACGCCGCCCGGAGGGCTGTATGGAGGCTGAGCAAATTGTTTTGGTCACTGTTGACAAGATTTGTATCCTGTAGGTTCAAATCGGTTTCATTATATTGTAGATAAACTCATTGCTTTGAAAAATGATGGATGGCTTTTCTAGAAGCTAAATGGGAAAATGGAATCTTAGCTCAGAAATTTATGGTAGAATGTCAGGGGTGTAAGTTTATACACTGGTAACAAACAAATATTCACTTATAGGTTAAAATGAAATAAAATAGTAATTTGAGTGAATTTCTATATAAATCACAAAACGTACCAACATAAAATCTGACGAATTGTGTTAAAAAGGTCCCGGCTCGGCCTAGGCATAGGTGTAATGTTTGACCGAACACTGCTCGAACAGCGGCGTGGCGTGCGAGGGGCTGCTGCTGATAACGGCCACGGGGCTGGTGGGGGCCGTGACGCCGTACACCGAGGACTCGGGCAAGCCCACCGTCGCCACCGAGACGCTGCGGGCCAAGAGGGACCGCGTGGTGCACGCCAGCTTCGCGCACAAGGGTAAGGGGGGCGGGGCGGGGCGGGGCGCTGCGGGGCGCCGGAGCTGAGCGCGGCCCTGTGCGCAGGCGGCGGCGTGCTGCTGGCGGCGGCGTGCCGCTCGGGCGGGCGCTGGTGCGCGCGCTGCTGCGTGGCGGCCGTGACGCTGCCGCCGTGCGGCGCGCGCCTGCAGCGCCACGCGCTCGCGCTGCAGCCGCTGCCCACCGTGCACCTGTCCGACGCCAGCCCCAGTGAGTACGCGTCGGCCGCCCGCCGGGCGCCCGTGCGGCCCTCGGTGACGGCGGGGCCTTGTCGCAGGCTGCCTGTCGTGGTGGGTGCGCGACGACTCCGAGTGGCTGGTGGTGGGCGGTAGCACGCTGGCGCTGTGGAAGCTCACGGAGAGGCACCACGCCGTACACAAGCTCTTCAACAAAGGTATCTCTCTTCTTTATCTGCGTTCGTAAAACTGTAATAAACTCCTGAAATTGAATCCTTTTAAAACGTGACTACAAAAGCGAAAGCCGCATCAGTGTTGAGTTTTTATGTATTTTACAGCAGGTTTGTTAACTATTGCTTCTCAAAAACGACGGGTCGAATTCCTGCTACGGCTTGTACCCATGCCGAACGAACGGTTACCATGCCGAACTGCCACGCAGAGGTCCCAGGTTCGATTCCCGGACCGGGAGAAATAGTTGAATGTCCTACATTTATTTCTCTCGTGAGTTTGGGTGTAATTTGTGGTTGTCTATGTATGTGTTAGGCACCTGCGACACAGGGTTTCCCTAGGCAGGGCTATGTTGAGTGTGTGCATTATTTATTTTAAAAAAACCCAAGTTACTTACAGTCAACAGCACATCAAGCTGTCCACTTTCGTTCGAACGTTGCCTTCAGTGCAACGGAACAAGATGTGTAGCTTATTGTGCTGCCGTCTGTACATTCGTGAAAGTTGCGAAATATCTCGCTAACGATAACATTGTGTTGACACCTGGCTGTGTGCATCTCAGATAGGGTACCCAACTCCTGAATAATCTGTGATGTCCTCAATCCCCAAGGGGTCAACGTGCGGACTATGGCCTAAACCCTCTTCTTAAATAGACTCATGCCTAGCAATGAGTCGTATATTTGCTGAATATAAATTATGTGTTCCTTTTAATCTACATGGTTATTTGTAAAATCTAAACAACCTCGCAGGACTATATCACTAACGCCATAAACGACAACTTTTGTTCTACGACTTTGAATGATTCATCAGATTTTACTTTCATGCAAAAGTAAATAGATTTAAATAGTTCGCTCTAAACGGTAATAAATCTGTGCAGGACGGACATGGGAGTCACCGCGGAAGGCGCTTGCACATTTGAACTTACTACCAAATACAGATCTAAAGTGTCAGATAGTGAAACAAAAATATAATTTATTTTTGGTAAAGTCATTATGTTTTGTAAAAAGTTATGGAACATAAGGTGTTGTTTATGATGTTAGTAATATAGTCGTGCGATGCGAGGTTGTTAGTATTTTGCAAATAACCCTTTACACCTAATAATGATGTAAGTAAGGTATAGCGTTTATATGAATTTGTTATCATAGGTCCGTTACAAGGCAGCACTACACCAGGCGGAGGGCAAAAAGCCGGCGCAGAAGGTCACAGCACGCTGGTAGGTCATTCAGTATCTACAATCTTCATGGATATGACGAAAGCATTTGATTTTGTGTCACACAATTGGTTATTTTACTATTAGGCAAAATATATGAGTACGGATTGAGAGGACTCGCATATGATCTAATAAAATCATATCTACGGAACCGCCACCAAGAGACACATATTACATGCATGGACAAAAACACGGAAAAAATAGCCAAAAGGGCACCGCAGGGCAGTATTATGGGGCCACTTTTATTTATTCTGTATGTTAACGAATTGCCAGATCACGTTCAACAAAAGATGGTACTTTCCTCTGGGGTAGTTAGACATATTAATTTTAATGATTATGAATCAGTTTTGAATGAAGCATTAAGTGACACTATAAAATAATCTCGTAGTAAATTTATGCAATTCTACCTGTCACAGTCACGACCAAAAAATTTAACTACAAATTACGATGGATGGATCGTTGCTAAAGTTAATGAACCAAAACTTTTGGGCATTAGGTACTCTTGATAGTCACTTGAACTGAAAAACACATATCAATAATTTAAACACTAAATTTCGTAAGTACGTATATGTTCTACAAAATGTGACAAGAATAGCATCTAACATAAAAAAACTGCTCTTTATGTTATCACGCTTATGTAGCCTCTAGATATCCTAAAAACACATGGAATAAAATAGAAATACAGCCCAAACAACGCCCTAATTTGGAATTTTACAGTAGAACGATGTTCGTATTAACACCCAAATTATTTAATAAATTGCCGGATGCCGTTACAGAATTAAATTGTAGACAATTTAAAATGAAATTGCATAATTTGTTAGAAACTCAATGCCACAACAATATTGATGATTTTTTTACTTGATAACATAACATGTAAAAGTTAACTATTGTATGTTATATTTTTGACTTCCTATTTTCCGGTTAAATTCCAATTGTTATTGTTTGTTTCTGCTATTGTATTAATTTAACTTTAATGCATGCTACATCAAAAATAATAAAAGAATGGTGTAAAATATTCGCATGCCAAGTTTATGGTGAAATGTACGAGCTAACATAATATACTATAAGACCTGCAATGGTAACTACATTTTTCAGCTAATAAATATTTTGTATATCTCGAAGCAATCCTACAGACTATTATCAAAAATGAAAATGATGCCTTAGAATTTGTGACACACAATAAGATAAGCCAAGCGCGTGAGCCAAATGCGTAATTTCGGCTATCCCCAATTTCGAGGAATTGAAACGCTGAAAGTACACGGTTACATTTTTCGGTACGTCTGGCGCTATATTTCCGTACCGACCAACTTATCTATGATATAGCATAAAAATGAGTTAGGGCTTTCAAATTAGAGAAAAACAAATGAACTGTCATTTATTTACATCGCATATATCGCGGATCAGTCAGTGGATCTTAAACCTTTTTTAACAGATTTTAAAAAGGAGGAGGTCTCAATTCGACATCTTTTTTTATTTGAATTTTACGCGATTACTCCGTCTTTTGTGAACCGATCTCGATGAGCCTTATTTTTTTGAAGGGGTTACTTCAGTAGTAGTTCCACTTAAATTTGAAGAAAATATTAGCTAACGTTTGTCGTATTGGAAAAACAAATATACGCGATTTAAATTCGGGAAAATAGTTCCATTTCCTATGTGCAACAATCGCGAAAACCTAAGAACTCGATTTGTACATATTGGCAAAGTTTTTTGAAGTCGGTTTTTGTAATAAAATTATTTTTTAGCATCTTTGCTCCTTGTGTTTTTGATACGTATGTACATTTCTCCGGCCTCGACTTGCGACTTTGAGGTCATAATGTGACGAACATTTTGTTGGACAAAAAATGACGCAATCGAAATGTCCCTTGAAGGTTTGGCAGCAGGCGGGCGCGTGGAGGGTGGAGGCCGGCGAGGGCGGGTGCGTGATTGGGTGTGCGAGAGGCGCCGTCACGTCCATGGCAGTAATGGCGGCCGGAAGGAAGATTCACCTGCTGGCCAGGGACTCGCATAACTATGTGAGTCAGTTACTGAGACGGTTACTTGAGAGTTTAACCAACGTAAGAGTAACACAAAAACTTCTTTCTTGAAATTGACATATTTGCCTATCGGTATGTTCCACAAATCCCCACCAAAAAGGATTTGTCGAAAAAATCTCCACTAAGATATTATTTTATATGTATATTAAAGGTATATTAAATTTGTAGATGACGTCGACATTACGATTAATTGTGTTTGTTTTTCTTGCAGAAAGCGCAAGTTTTTTTAATTGAAAAAGATTTTTATTTGATTGCATACGGAAACATAAAAAAGCCAATAATTTAGTAGAAGCCCATGAGTTTGTTGACTAATTAAAATTGAAAATTACGATATTAATGTTTATTGCCTTCATCAAGTGACATCTATCTTTTCGACGTCAACAAATACATTGAGCTTCAGCTGTACGTATCGACTTCGCGCATGCAGTTCGTCTAGTAGCAGCCTTAGAGCGAAATGTGACTTTTGCGCCTGACCCAAGCAGCTGCCAGGACTTCCCATTAATTGTGGTACCGTTCGGCAGCTGAGCAGCCGCCCGGTGCTGACGAGCGGCGGCGACGTGTCCGAGCCCAAGAAGGCCAAGTACGGCCATCCCGTCGTACCGGTCAGTCCCATTTGAGCTCCGAACCGTTACTTCTGTCTTAAGAACGGAACATAAATCTATTGAAATAAAACTATTTTTTTCGGATCTAAATCGCTGTCCGTGTTCAGTGTTGACCATGGGACCTGTAACGGGTCCGAAACATTGCTTTCTTTAAAAAAAATTAGATCAGAAAAAAACATTTTCATTTCTTATGTGTAACAAACTTAATAATTCGATATATAATATACAGGATTGTTTGTAAAACACTAACAGCCTCAAGGGACAATATTACTAACATCATAGGGTTCATTCAGAGTGCAGGCGTGCGTCTTGATGTTTTCCCTTTCACAGTGCCGAAACGGCTAGGAGCGGGTAGGTCCAAACAGACGCTAGACGCTAGACCAAGCACTGTAAAAGGTACGGGCGGACCGAGCCAATAAATAGATGTACCTGCTATGAACGCAACGAGCGTCTATGTTCATTAGATTTACACGCACCCGTGCCCGCAATCGCGCCCGCCGCCACTCTATATAAGGCCGTAAACAACATTTGTTCCACGACTTTTAATAACTTACCAGATTTTACTTTTGTTTAAAAATGAAAATGTTTAAATAGATCTTTCTAAATGGTGAGTCTAAAGAGTGTCGGATACGTGGAACAACAATAGTCGTCTGCGGGGTTGTTAGTATTTTACAAGTACTCTTTTACAATATCGTATTGTTCGATAAATACATTTGAGCACTTTTAGTAAATTATCGCTCGCATTAATAAGTCGTTCTGAAGTACAGAATCGATATTAAGATCTTATTTGTGTCGACTGTTTTTATAATAATTATCATATGAACGCACAGCACTGGTGCTCATTGACTGTACGCATCATTTGAGATTATATTGCGTTACTAAGCCACAACTAAGGCGGTACGTGATTTTCGATCACTCGAGATGGTATCTTTCAAGATGCCGATGGTTTTAGTCCGCTGTTGCAAGAAGGCTTGAAATGTATTTCCAAATCTGAGCGAGATCTGCCAAACGTTTGAACAACATTCTCGCCGTCCCCACTTAAACGACGTAACCGCGATTTTTGGCCGAAGCGAGTTGTTAATGTAACCGGGATTGGCGAAACAAGATCTACAACCCCTCGGTACCCTGTCCAGTTTCTGATTGAGTGTTAAGCGAACGGGCCCCACCGGCTGCGAAAGAAGCAGCTGAGAGCCCGCTTTGCGCCCACAGAGCGGCGCGTCGTGCGCGCTGGTGTCGAGCGTGGCGCTGGCGGCGCTGGGCGGCGCGGCCGCGGCCGTGGACACGCACGCGCAGCTGCACGTGTACCGGCTGCCGCCCGCGCCGCAGGACCTGCGTGAGTGGCCGCGCCTCCGCCTCCCGCCTCGCGGACCAGCCCTCGCCGCGGCAGCAGCCGCGCGGCAGTCCCGAGGGCGAGGACTAGGACATTACAAAATTACATGTTCTCGAATGAATGAATTGTTTCGGTTTGGACCGTGTGTTGAGACTAAGTGACGACACTTAAGGGTTGGTAGTTGGATTTATTATTTAAGTGAAGGTGTGAGAAAGTGCGAGTGTGGCGCGCTGTCCCGTAACACCGCTATTCTGAAAATGTGCCATTTGGCTGGTATCAAATAGAAGTCTTATTTGTTATCCAAAATATTAATTGTATTTTGCACGTTTCCAAAAAAGTAGCTTTTCGAATTGTGCCACTTTACTTTTGAGAGTGCAACTTGAGGCTCGTAAAGGTATTTCAGTTGAAAAGCGCGCGTCTCACGACAAGCGCCGGCTAATTATTAAACAAAAGCGTCGTTCTGTGTAGCGCCGGCGCTGCAAGTGCAGCACGCCGTGGGCCTGCTCGAGTACGCGCTCGTCTCGGGCTATGACTTCTTGGACGTGCTGCTCACGCTCAAGCCCAACATCGTCGAGCTCGTCTACGAAAGGTGAGATGCGTATGCCTCATAAGTTACCACCAAAACAAAACCGAAACTTTGCTGATCCGGTGTATGGTGAAATAACCAAGTGGTATTTAAGTTACGGCAGACAAAGGACACGTCATATAAAACGCTGGGGAAATTGACTTAACTTGTGGTAGTAGGATAATCAAAGGATAGAGTAAATTAGAAAAAGGATGTAGAAGACGCTTATGTTCCTATTGAAAAATTAATCCATTGTGTCTATGTTTCCTAAACAAATTAATTCAACATAACGTTGCAAACTTTTTTAAACATAAAGTCTATGCGCTGACACGTTTTTCTAAACGACTTTTTAAGCGTCAAATTAAATAGCGTTTAAGTGAAAAGCGCTTTTACAAGCACGCTTTTTTAAACGTACGTTTTAACGTTAAAAAAATAAGCAGTTTCTTCCATTTCAACTGTTAACAACTACGAAAGTTAAACAACTTACTCGTATGTTTTTAAACGCCAATGAACAAAATGTTAATATAATGATGTTATACCATAAATAAAAACAACTCGTTTTTTACAAAAAGACTTTTATTAAATTTAAAAATTTTTAGTGGTAGAAAATTTTTAGTAGTTTCTACTCTTGCGTTTCGTATCAACACAACGTTGCAAGCTTTTTTTAACATAAAAGTCCATGCGCTTAAACGTTTTCTAAACGATTTTGTTAGCTTCAAACTAAAAAGCGTTTAGGCATTTAAAAAAGCACGCTTTTTAAAAAAAGCATAATGTTTAAATGTTTAAAAAAATAAGCAGTTTTTCCCATCTCTACTGATGACACAGCTCCAGAGACGAGTTTCCGCTTTTTCTTCTTCCCCTCCGTTGGTTGCCTGGGTTGTGATTGTGGAGCAGTGGGTTGGGTAGCATCGGCAACAGCAGCGTAATCACGTCAAGGGGTCAACGTGCTTACGAGTGACGTCTCCGCCGGGGCGGAAAAACGAGGGGCGGCGCGCGGCGACAGCGGCAGCGGGTGCTGACACATTCATATGAGCCGACTCAAATCCGCCGATAGATGCGTTTTGCGCCCCGCGACAAGCATGTGTGGGTCTGCTGGTGCTGGTGGAGTTCTGTTGATTATAATGTTGTTACTTAGTAAGTTTAGTTCAGAATTCAAAAGGGTAAAGAACTAGTAATAAATCCAGTTTCATAAGTATTTATTCCGGTTTTGACGTTATTTATGATCTTTAAATTGTTTATCGCACAAGAGATTTTAGTAACTGTTAAACGGCTCAAAAAAAATAAGTAGAGAAGACGTGTTCGCTGCCGCGATCGAGCAGGGAGTGACGCTGGAACGAAACAAAATCAGAATGCGAGGCAAAAGAACTATGGTAATTAAAAATTTAAATTTAAATACGAGTGGCGGAATCGGGGAATGGCGATAAAAAGTGGTGACGTCGACGTGGTCGAGCGTGACAGGGGGCAGCTTGTGCAGCTCCTTCGCCACGAAAGCAGGCACGTCGTCTGGGTCGGTCTCTTTAAACAGCGTATTGATGTCCTGGAGACTCTTCGCTCCTCCATCCCTCTGGCGCGATAGCATCGGCTCGGCCTTGCCGAGCTTGCGGAAAAGCAGCGCCTCGCCACTGCAAACCTCTTCTTTGAAGTTGGACTTGTAGGTTTGCGCGATGCTGACCTCGTCCATAGTGTCGATGGCGTGTTGGATGAACGCCAGCAGCTCATTGGCCAAGAGTTGTAGAGAACTCATAGTGAATTACGTGCAGCGGCTATTGCCGCGCGGGTCGTCGCGAATTGTTATGATTCTTACTGTGTAGTGGAGCACGTCCGACTCCGAGCGTGCACCGCGCCGCTCTCGCGCGGCTCTCGCGCGGCTCTCCTTATTGTAACTAACGTAATCGACATTTTTATTGAAATTGAGTTGTTAATATATAAGCGATTGTTTAATATCTTATCTAGTTTCAGGTTTATTGTTAGGCAAAGTGTGAGTATTTCGTGTTTAAAGTATTTATTTAGGTAATAATAATACTTTGCGTGCCAATAAAACGAAAGTTACCGAAATGTAAATGCGTTAGTTACGGTAAGGAGGGCGGTGTAGCTGAGATTAGTAGTGGAGGTACTCCTTACTTGCTGTCCTCGGAGCGAAAAAGGACACAAGTAACATTTTTGTTAAAATTGTTTTACATACATATTTGGAACCAGGAGAAAATACCAATCTACGTATTTTTTTTGTAGGATTATATCTCAATAGTTGTTGAACATACTGCAGGCGCGCACAACTAACTAAAAAATGAACTGTTCCCTTTAGGTCTATTTGTTTAGTTTACGTTCAAGCATTAAAATCGTATTTAAATTAGGTGTGCCCTTTATAATAATATCAAGAAATTATTTATTTTTTTCTACTAAGTAAAGAAGAAAATGAAAGTATTATTTAAAACTGCTCGTTACAATACAATGAAAACTTTAATGTCAAACCTACATTCAACTGTTCTTTTTATCGGAAAAACCTGACAAGTCCCGTCTGAAAGGACCAACCGCCCCGTCCAGGTTCACGGAGTCGTTCGCGCGCCAGCCGCCGGCGTTCCAGCAGCACTACTTCCACGGCTGCCTGCGGATCCGCGCGGCGCTGTGCCGGGCCGGCGCGGGGCTGTCGGCGGCGGCGGGCGCGCTGCAGCGGCTGCAGGCGCTGTGCGAGTGCTGGGCGGCGGCGGGCGGCGCGCTGCGCGCCGACGACCGGCCCGACGCCGCCGCG